GGAAAGGCCGACCTCGCGCAGACCAGCGCTGCTGCTCTGCCACGCTCCCGCCGAGCCACGAATTCCTCGCCCGGCCGGCCGAGCCGTCCCTCCCTGCCTCCCCCCGCCCCAGCACTGCTGCCAAATGGCATCACGGCAGCAGAGACAATTCCTCGAGAAGCCACGGAGCTGGACGTGCATCACGGTTCCCTGACTGTTTGAGTTGACGTAACTTTCCTACTTGGGAAACGCGTCTCCTGGAATAGGGCTGGATTTGTCTGAGTTGGCCAGCAAAAGCCTTGGCTACCCGTCACACTTAAGAGGTGTCTGGCATTCGTTTTGTCGCTTGGGAACACAGAGCTTTCCGTAACACTGATTCATCAGCTGGGGTAATCTAAACGCCGACCAAAGCGTTTGTCAGAAGTCGAAGAATTTGGAAGTTGTTTACTCCCCAATGGGTAATTCAAACTTGACTTGCTCAGGCCCTTTTGTATCTGCCTCAATAGAAACACTGCAGTGACAGCAAATATCCGTTAGGTAAATGAACTATTAAATACAGCAAAGGTAGTCTCTCTTTCCAGCGGTTTGCCATTTTGGCAAACTACATCGTTATCTGCCTACGGCTTTATTTTACTTGCCCCAGGCAAGCGCTACATTATTTCCATAAAGTACTGACTCTCTGTATGTTGGGGCCATTCATAAATACATTTCAGGGCATTTTTTTTGTTATCACAGCAATCAAGCCTCAGCAATCTAAAGGAATATACATTGCACTCCTGTATAATATGCAAGATTTATCACCAGTAAGACGGTGATTAAGCACTCAATAAATAATATATCAATATAGTCAGTTGCACCATAATCTAAAAACAAGTATAACATATACTTTGGACAGACTGAGTTCATATATATATACATATATATTAAAAGACACATACAATACAAATTGCATACTGCCATCAAAAGCCAAGAAGAGCCATCCATATGCTCTGCTTTATGGCTAATAGTTTCAAATCAAAATAAAAGTCTCAGGCTGTTTTACTCTGGTGTCCTGAAGATTTGTTTATGATTATTAATGGTTGCACCTTATCACCTAGGAACCTGCAAGCTTGACAGCAAATTCAAATAGTGCTGATATCTGAGCAAGCCTAGTCTGATTAAGCCATTTTAAAGATTCACCAACTGGGACCGCGTTCAGCGAGGGAATTAAAATTACGGCATTGATATGTATTTAATATACAATTGTCTAGGGGATCATTTAGGAAGCCAGGAGTTAGGGATTCCCTCAGCGCTAGTCACTAGCGCGACGTGCGTTTCCGCTGCTGTTGTGTAGAGGTACGAAAGGACAGGTTCAGACTGTTCGCCTGCACTTCACAGAGGGATGGAAGACTGTTACGTACTTGCATTTTTTTAGCTATGAAATCTGACAAAGTACGTAACTCTTCTCTTGGAAACAACGGTAAATCCCAAATTAAGATATGCTTTTGGAATTGTGAAACTTAGATTTATCCGTTTGAAATAGCCACAGATGCGTAAGGCATTTCTTTTCAGTTAACAAGACCACTGCATATCTCTCGTACAGACAGAAAAACTGGGACAGCACTCTAGAGGATATTTTACTATGAAGCATGCTGTTTAGGTGGGACACTTTCAACCAGTTCAGGTCCACATTTTGACACGATGTAAAAAGTCTTCTGGTCGTTTGAAGACAATTGTTTAAGATCCACTGATCTAGGGATAGCGATACATTTTTAAGAGACCAATTTTGCGTGACACCAAAAGGTATTTGTGGGACTCTAGTTTAAAGGAAAAAAAATTCCCAGAGATGAGACCATTCCTGCGAACAGTAATGGTAACTGTGCACAAAGGAGCAAGCCAAAAAACAGCCATGCTGGCTAGTGCAGCACTACACAAAAAATAAACTATGAATGCAACTTCTAAGAAGGTGTTTTTTTTATATAGCGTCAAAAGTGTGCTAGGCACTTTAGAGTATTAAAGGAAAAATAGTTGACAGTGTCCCATTAAGCAAGATGCAGAGTTTGAGGGTACAGAGTTCTGCCTCGAACAGCAAACGCTAACAGAAACGTGACCTTGCACAGTGATTCAATAAAAAGGATGCTCCAACAGACCTGAAGAGTAAATTCGGCTATCATGGAAAAAGTCACAGGTCCGTTAACCATGTATCAATCGTACGTAGCAAAGCTTTTCTGGAAGTACAAAACACGCTGGAACGCAAAGGAAGCTCTATGAATATGCAGCTACCTTTTAGTAGGTTACTAATTTGCAAAATTTCTAAACTCTTAAAGCCCATAGGACATACTGCAGTACTAAGTAGCGTAGAATTCTATTCCTTCTCTCGAGGTTGCCGTGATTTTGGCACTTAACTACAACTACACAAAAAATTTAGTGCAATAATTTTCCTGAACATGCACGTTCATATCTGGTACAGAATAAAGGGTTAAATGGGAGAGAAAACAAAGCAGCATTCCACATCTCACTCCAAAGGATTCAGAGTTTGACTCTTCAAAGGAGACCACCGCAATGAGAAGTCAGTTTGTGTGACAGACACTAGTACTTTTAAAAAGGAAATGGAATTTTACCAAAGTACTGCAGAAGACTGCTGAAAAACATCTTGTAAACAGTTCATAAAATCTTCATCTAAAAGTAAGGCATAAGGCACACCAGACATGTTAGGGGCACTACGCGATACTGAAAGCAGTAGCGGTTTAAACCTTTTACTCAGACAAGGACCTTATGTGGAAAGGTACTTTGGTTTACACTTTCTGAGAGCAGTCAGCTGCAACTCCACGAACCACTTCTGTTGCACCAAGTCGCTCCCTCACAAGTGAGTATTATGCTCCATCAAATATTAAGGGGACCTTCATTAACACGGGGTAAATACAAGTTTTAAATCGATTCTGCATCAAAACAGCCAATTTCCCTGTAAAAGCAGGTGTGCTCCCACCCCACGATGGCTGCTGCACTGTCATCCTGTAGTGTCCATTACCTGTCAGACCCTCAGAGGAAAAAATGGACCTCGATTTCTACTTAAGATTCCTGGTTCCTCAGTCAATGGAGAAGATGCAAATGACAGTTCTGGTAGGAATTTAACTATTGTTGGGTTTTTAACCACAAAGTTCACCGATTTTGTAAGTGTCAAAAAATGACAAGGAAGGAAACAAAACCTATTTTAAACGAAGAGATGCAAAAAAGCACAAGATTGTCCATTTCAGAAACCTTTCCTGTATGCATTGCACCTATGAGACTGAAGTTCATTCCTACACCATTACTTCGATATTACATTAAATGCAAATTACTGTAATGTTTTGTGATTGTTATAGTGTTAATCGATGTTTTGAAACTGCCCTGAAAACAATCCAAGTCAGATCCAGCTAAATACTTTTCCATAAAAATTTCTTTATAATTCATTTAAATGAAGTATCTTAATACGTAGAAGAATATCTGGAACTTTTCTATTTAGTACAAATTCTGCAATAATAAATCTGAAGTTGTCATTTATTAGTCGACTCGTAGGCATTAGGCATGAAAAGTATGGTGTCCCTACATGTTAGAACCTATCAACCCTAGTTCCTTTTACAGGCTCTACCACCACAAGACATTACAGAGTAACAAAGCTCACAAAGTACTTAAATAAAGTGTCTATGTTTAATTTCCACTAAGTACTTGAAAGGGTAAATTTAGGGAAGAAATAGCTAAAAAACTGCCCCAAACTGGGCTTTTTCAAAAATTAAAAAATTAAAATAAATAGGATTTAAACTGACTATTTATGTATTGTGACTGGAATTCCAATGATCTATCCATGATAGATCAGCAAAACTACACCTTTATATGTAGCAAATTTTAAAATATTTAAATAACTTAAAATGGGAATACTGAAGAAGTCCATTAACCGGATGATTTGGGGTTAAAACACAAAACATAAATGAGGATGGGAGACATGTGAAAGCATTCCTTGCTCTTAGTGTCAACTAAGCAATGTGTTATGGCAGTCTTCCTTATTGACATGACACAGTGTTGTGGAGATAAATCAGAGGCAGCGAGAAAAACGTGTTCGGTTTTCCGTTCCTTCAGTTCAAAATATCACTTGGCATCCAGGCGCAACCAGTGTAATCCCTGACGGGTGTAACGCACTAGGTCTGTCATGATGCTTGAATTAAAAATCAGAGGGCCCATAACTTTATCCAGTTCAGCAAAGAACTCTAAAACAACAGAAACACAAGTTAAACTATGCACAGATTTTTATATGGGAAATATTACACCCAAACTCCCCATCTTTTCAGCAAGAGTGTTTGAGATTAAGACAGAAGAAAAGAAAGATGTCTGAATGATGCAAGGATAAAAATAAAGGAAAAAGGTCCTTTCTAATCAATTTCTTTACTCTTTTGCAGAAGACTGGTGGATAAGAATAATTATTAAACTACCGTTTAATAGTATTAAACTATTAATTTAAACTAAAAAACAAAGTATTGTTAAACTATCATAAAACTTCCTCGGCTTTCCTCCCCACATGTGTATTTCACTTAAGAATTTCTGAAACGAAAATGTATCAAGTTCCTCTTCCTACATGTAACATTTTACAGGAAATGCAACAATGATTTTTATTTTTTTAAACACAGGTAGCTGGTAGGAAACACCACATCTCCGACACCACCTTGACAACCAAGACAACCAGCCTGGGGTATCACTGTAACCAAAGGTATAACTCTCCATCTTACTTTTGCAGAGGATCTGGTTAAGCATCCTGTGCACCATTAACTGCAACTCCAAAAATTCAAAGCCTACAAGCATTTCAGCAACACGTGATGCTATAATCCACCTGTGCCGCCCTTACCTTTCTGTTCTTTAGACAGCTGTTCAGCTTGGTCCCAAATTTCAGTGGCATAGAGGAAGTTGGACGTAACTTGGACATAACTGGCTGCCATCTGATGGATCCTCTGGGGGATCGTCACCGAAGACCCGCTCCCTGAAGGGTTGGCTGCCCCGGAAGAGTAATTTCCTGAATTCCCCGGAGACAGCTTTGGAGAGACCGGAGATGGCATACCGACGGGCTTGCTGCTTATCCAAAGAAAAATATTAAATTGTAGAATGCATACGTATGTACTTTAGGCGCATCATGCTGTAAGATGCCCTCTAAGACCTCTCTTCCCACATCTCAGGGTGCGAGATGCTAAAGCACTCCCACTTTACACACCAAGAAGTCAGGATTTGCCCCCACAACAGATGAAATGCATGAGCTGGTAACAACGGCTGAGGATCCGCCAACTCTTATTTAGCTTCACAGCCAAAACCTAATTACCAAACCTCATCACCTCTTAATTCAATAAAATCTTAAATTCATTGTTTCGATAAATTGAACTTTAAAGAATAATAATGAAAACATTACAACTACATCGTAACTATACTGTCATAATATTACACTTTCCGATAACACGATGCAAACCTGAAATGCCCGAAGAATAGGAGTAAATTGCTGGGCTATGGAACGGACAACCCTGAAAGCAGCTGTCTGGGCTTGCAGCACTAATAATGCTATTGTTTTGAGGGAAACAGCACTGAATAAAACAACAAAACTCACTGAGCTGACTTGTAAGTGACACACTGACCCTTTTTTGGCAGCAAGGAGTTGCCTGACAAACTGTCTGCAAGAGCGCTATGACAAGCAGCAGTCTTCCAAAGCTTCTATCAGAATAACGATACAAACAACCGAATCGAAAATCTACACCCTTAGAACAATCACCTCAACACTTTAAAGAGTGAAAAGCTACTCTCTGAGCACCCCAGGCACACAGTTTATGTCGAAAACTAGCTAGAAGTTGAGATATACAGGTAACAGCTTTCACTACTTACCTCCCCATACCAGGTGATGGTGCTTGAGAATTATTATAGGAATTCTGTTTGGGGAAAAATAAATTTGTCACCTGACAAGTGTGTTTAACAAGTTATATTTTATCTGGTTATTTAATTGTTTATTTTAAAAACTGATTTTTGTAGTTTTTCTTTCAAGCAATAACCAAAATTCTGAATAATATCAAAGTAAATTCAAATCTGGGACAATATCCTTTTTTACTGATGACTAAGACATAGATTTAGGGATTATTTTAGCAACACAGAGAAGGACACTAAATATATATAAGACTGGAGTAGTCCTCTGTTTTAACCATTAGATCCCATTGCCTCTTATGAGAGCATTTTGGTTTTCAAGCCCATTCACAGGAAGAAATCTGTTATTACTAGCATTTAACAATTAAAGATGTCTCAAAAAAATCCGAGATGTCAGACACGTGAGAAGCCTGTTTCCTCTCAGTATTGACAGCTGGAAGTTTCAGAGAAACCCAATGATATTAGCTACATATGCCCAAGTGTTTCTTTGAAAATCTCGCTCTAGGTTAAGGACTGAGTAATATTACAGAAGTATCGTAACTATTTTTCTCATCTGCACACCTTGATTCAAATAAATTCATTCAAAGGACATCTCTCAATCTCCTTCTCCCAACAGCACTTTTAAATCAGTTGCACAGGAATTTAGATAAATTCGCTGGGGGCTGGAGAGAGGGAAATAATTAAAAACAAATATCAAACAGCCCACTGCAAACAACAAAAAATTCAGAAAGACCAATTTGGTTTTGAATTAGCAGTTGGCTCTGGTGCCAGCTTTTGCGAAGGCTGAGTAACTGCCGCCCATGTAATATACCTCTAGATCCTGAACTCCCTTAAGCTTCAACATGAAAGTGAAGCTTCAGCTTGTTATGTCTGCAGCAAGAAAAATGTTTTTAAATTCTCCTTGAAGCCTACTAAGTTTATTAAAGAAGAGAAAAACTAGACCAAATTATTAATAGAGAACTATCATGCTAGGACCAGTGGGGTTATGACAGCCATGTTGTCTCTTCCCAGCTTTAAACTACTCAACTTTAATATACTTTCAAGGTCCAGTTCTAAATACGGTATATTCCCAGTTCACACGTAGCAGCCTGAAAATTGGATTCAGGAATTTTAAGTGATGTAAAACTTTAATTTGATTAGGTTTTAATATTCTAAGAAAATACAGATGCAATTACCTTCAGATGTTCCGTCAGAGTTTTAGAATATTTCAATGCACTTTCCTTTTTCAGTTTGAAAAGCCTTAGGTATAGTAGAGATTGACACCGAAGACTGACCAAAGACAGAATAACAAAACAATTACAGTTAAAGTCAAGTTTACCACTGAGGGAAGTTCAGAAATCTAGTAGCTGTGTTTTTAAAGCTTTCTCTACCAACTCTCAAGTTGTAGGTCTACCAAAAAAAATCCACAACCACCTTTACATTCTCAAGAAAACAAAAACATAGCTTTGTGTGCCTTAACCTGAAACTATAATTTTCAGTGATCGTGCTGATGTAACCAGTTCCCAGTTCTCAGCTTAGGAGACAACACTAAGTTACTTCCTAGACAAGGGTTTCACTTCTTCTCCGCTTGTGTCAGGCCACACTGAGTCTTACGCATCTGCCATGGCCTCCCCTTTCTTTTCCACCTGACACCAGCTGGTCCTGGTCCTCTACGCCTGCTGCAGCCACTTCATCCATCTAGGAGGCGAGCGACAATTCTTTACAGCCAGTCCAAATCTGGACTTATCACTGGATGAGTACACAGGAAGGACCCCCATCCCTTCTGCTTGTTACTCCATACAAATCTAGTAATTTCCTTAACGTTTCAAAGGCTGGCCCTTGTTGTCAACATTCCCTCTGCTCCAATTTACAGTAATCAGATATACAGCGTTACTCTTTATGCATGTGGAAAACTCATATATTTGCTTCAGAAACACCTGACAACTCCATGGAATACAGCATTTCATGCAGAGAACACATCTGAAATTCATCAGTGCATTGTATTAAGTTCAGAATACACGTACCAAAGCACTGCTAGCCTTTTATCTGCAGCCGTAGCATCCGGTGCCAAGTAATTCTTCAGTTTCATAGTGTATCTACAAACAAAGACACCAAGTAAACAACAAAATAAGGATTATAGTATCATTTATCAATCACAAAACACTGACGTTCTTAGGGATTTCTAGTTTCAGCTGTCTTCGTCATTTCAGGAACCTCTCTCCGACGCTAAACGAAATGCTGACTAGGTAGTAATTGGAACAGTTTTGTTTCTCATGTGTTATGTGGTGTAGAGAGACTTCAAGAGCCTTACAGAAAGGATCTCAACCTTCATGAAAACGCTTTAAGCCTCAGCAACTGGAATGAACTGGTAAGTGATCCAGTTTTATTAGAGAACGGTAAGAGATTTGAAAAGTTGGCAGCAAAACTTTAGCACATCTAGAAGCTCTGATTTCCAGACCTCTTTTCCACCCACTTGACCTTTGTATATGTTTTGCAACGCTTACTTGATTAATTCCACAGTTTCTGAATACATAGGGAACGGGGACTTGGATTCCTGAGCATTTTTCTCCAATGCATTCCCACACTCAATGAACGACACTACAGCATCCAGGTAGTACACAGCCTTCTCAAACCTGTCAGACTGAGGAGATTGGAAAAAAACTTTTAAGGACAAAAAATAGAGAAGAAGTACAAGAAAGCTCTAGTACAGAGGGGCAGCAAAATAGTAAAAGCAGTAAACAAACCCCAGTATAATGTGCAAACATCGGGTAAGTATTAGAGATTTACTTACCAATGCATCTGCATTATGTTTTAACTTCTTTGCTTCCTGTAAATAATGATCAGCTGAGTAAGTCCTGCAACAGAGGACATAAATTTATGGACTCAGGCCCAGCCACATTGCATTTCCTTTTATGACTGAAGTTTCTTAATGTTACCAAATTTTGTATTTTTTCCAGCTAACTCAAGTTACAGAAGTTACACTATGATAAAACTGTTAAAAAAGTTAACTAATCAGTTACAGTATGATAACATTGTTTAAAATAGTTTAAAGTTAGTTCTCTAGTTTCAGGTAATTCAAGACAGTATTTCAAGCAAGTTGGTAAGTACCCGTGATTTGGTTAAATTTACTGCATTTGATAGTAAGCAAACCAAACACTTGACCAACAACAGGGGCAGGAGAAGGAAAAAACCCACAAAATTTGAGAACAAATTAATCCAGCACCTCCAGGACTGGCATTACTGAGGGTGTGAAATATTTGAAAATTATGATAATAATACAAAATGAATCAAGATGCATTCAGCTGTTAATTGCTTTTGCTTAGCCACCCAAGACAATCAATGCTAAATGACTTTCATGACTAGGTGAGCAGAAGGTAATCCTAGCACTGTAATTATACATTTCAATATATTAACATATTACCTATGAGTTGACTAAAGTTTGAAAGAAATTCTCCCATCCATCCTATCTTACTTGTCTAAGAATTAAAGATATTTGAAATCAACATTTTTAACAGTCCACTTCCAGGAAATTGATGTCAGTACAAAGCAAAAGTTAATATTAAAAATATATGCCTACAAAAATTAGTTCTATCAGTTCTAGGCCCAAAAAATCCTAAAATATCTCAAGCGTAACCGTAACGCTATAACATGTCACCATTCCAAAGCACAATTACTGTTCCTTGGAGGGTGCTCTCATTATGTCTTCTATATGTCAATACACATTCAGAATTTTTTCTTTTTTTAAGTTTGATCTTATCTCAACTTCTTGGCCCTGTTTTGTCTTGGTATAATTACAAAATCCCTGTAAACTATGTTGTCTTAAATGATTGATAGTGTACTCTAATAATCTAATTCACTTGACTTTTTTTTTTTTCTTTAAGGAATAACTATCAGGAGAAAACACACCGACCAGCTACCTTGCCCGCTTCCAAAGAGTTCTTAACCAGGAAGTTACTTTTACATTTGGTATAAGCATAATTTTATCTGTAAACTGAATTTGAAGAACAAAGAGAAATGCTTTAAGAGCAAGCATTGTGCTGAGATTTGAACGGGTACAAGTGAAACCTGAAGCCTGCACAAGATGGTAAAATATTTGTTTCATTTTCCTTTCAAGATTTTTTGATCCCACAGGATTAAATCTCGATCCTGCTCTTGTAGATCTGGTATTTCAAAAATGAAGGCTCCTCCTCTCTACTACCAAGAACCACAACTCCTGACTCTAGACGTGGGCTCTGTTGAGAAGAGAACAGGCAGACAGGTAGCAGCAGTGTCCTGGTAAGGTGAAAAGGACCCATCAGCATTTAAAAACAGAACAACCCTGAGCTATTTCAGTCTACCGCGTGCTCCTTTTATGCTCGGTAGGAATGTACAGGGCAGGCTACAGTTCCTCCTCAAGGACTGTGCTGTCTGCCAAGTAAATGGCACAGGGAGCAGACAAGCACATCCCCGCAGGAACAACGTGCAGCGCTCAGAGTGTGAGCTTGTACTCAACATCTTTTGTGACGCAAAATGACAACTCTTGTCCGTGGGGAGCTGGCTATGCCCTGAGATTCACAGCCCCACAAGGGGAAAGGCACCTTTTTCTGTTCTTACCTATCATCAAAAACAAGTTTTGCTCTTCTTGACTTGGAACTTTCTGTAGACGGAGTAGATGCAGGAGGGCAGTTTGATGCATTGTTCAGAATCTTTTCCTGAAAGGAAAATTCTTGTGAAATAATAAATTTAAAGAACTGTTACATCTTCACTGTTTTCAAGAAAAGCATTTGTTTTATAAATTTCTGCCATGACTTTACGCATTATCTGCAATAAGGTCAGTTTTGCCGCTGTTTTAGCTGCCATTCACCATAGGCAGTAACACAGCTTCCATGAGGCTTTTGCCTAATGCTGGCACAGAAGAAGACACAGAGGCTATAATCAAGCTCCTCTCTCTAATATATCAGGAGATGTTTAGAGAAGGAATGCAGCCGAGGCTTTCTAGACACACCTGGGTCCACGAAATCCCTCCCTGAATCTCCCATGTCCCTATTTCTAAGTCCTGCTTTTCCACTCTAACAAAGAGCTGGTGAGTATTTTTACAATTTCACGTTTTTCTCAACAACACGCTCTGCTGAATGTCTAAAAAATTATTTTGGAAGGATAAGCATCATCTTCAGGGAGAAAAGTTAGCTGTCTTCACAACACACTGCCCTTGCTCACCTAAATTATACGTGACTCAACATGATGCTTCATGCTAAAGACCAGACGCTAGAAACATTCCGTGAATCCTAAGTGAATCCATTTTTAGTAGCTAAACAGTATAAAACAACTCCCCAGCTTCATATGTGTTTTCCGCTCTCTTGATTTATCATGACCAAAGGCCATCTATATAGATGTGTTTCCTAACCTACGTTTATCAGATTATCGCTATCAGAGGGATCCTGGAGTTGCAAGGCACCAGATTTGCACAGCAACGTACTACGTACCATTGTAATGCAGAAACAGTAACAAAACACGCACTGCAATGCACAAAGAGTACACACTGCTTTAAGAAAGGCATGACTAAGCATCTCTGAAGTATAAAGCAATAAACATCTCACAAATTAACAACTGGCTTAGGGACTTTTCGACGTCGATGACTAAAGAGAGGGCAGAGCTGCAGTCTGTAAGGTAAATCCACTATCTACAGTTCCTGCAGGTGTCTTACGCAGCCACCGATACACGCAACCCTGCCAGGCTTCTAAAATCTCGTGGTGTTGGCATCTGAAGCAATACAGCATGTCTCCCAGTTGAGGTACTCATGCACTCCACCCCGATGAGTAAGTTACTTTCTGCCATTGCTAATGTCTGTTCGCTGCTTTACTCCTCCCCAAATCAATTACCTTTCCTGAACGTTTTTACACTTTGCTTCTAAGCTTTTCAGAGACTGCAAGTCCAACTACTGAAGTTTAGCGGTTTCTTAAACTACCAGAGTTTCCACAGCCCGTGGGAGGCTTCGGGGCTTCGCTGCAGAGTGGGGGAGACAGCCGCACCGGCACCCGCAGCACACCTTGGAATCACAAAGACGAAGGTGCAATCCCTCCCAGTTAAACACACTATGCTCCACAACTGGCTATAAAATGGAAACCGCTCATGACAGGTATTCAATAATACGCTCTCCGATGTCCTCACAGGCTAATTTCTACCCAGTAATACATATTTATATACTGATGAAAAAGCACATTACAATTTAGTAATCTAAGAGTATCATCTTCCAATAATATTTTTAAATTCCACCATCTAAATATCTTCCTAACCTAGGAATCTTAAAAAACATTTTCTGCACTATCTTTACAACCATGTTTTCTCCATTCCGACCACAGAAAACGCTGCACATTCCTGAGCTGGAGTTAAAATAATCTTTCTGGGGTCCCACAATGTCACAAAATGAGAGCCACAGCTTCGCATCCTAGTGCTGAGTGTGGACTGAGCTCCTGCTCTCCTTAAAAATCAGGGCAAGATCTATACCTGGTCTGATGAGATAAGAGTAACCTCATTGTTCCACTTACTGTTGTGTAAACAGCTTTCTAGTGATATTTCTTATTAAGAAATTCAACACTAAATAAGCAGCATCAGTAATCAGAAGATGACTAAACGCATTTCACTTATTAACGTAAGAATTTGGTAGTAATAACCATCAGTATTCCACAATCTCTCCCAAGTTATTTTCTGATTTATAGACTTCCAAGGTACTTAAGCATTATGACATGAAACAATGCATGTCTGAAACTAATTACATCTTAACATGAATTGCACATTATTGTTTAGATCACACTGAGCGTGTCAAACTGCGAAGCAAAGAAACAGGCTTTAGGCATTTACAGAATAAGCCCTTTACCTTGGTTTCTTTAGCACTGCTAGAACCCTTCCCCTCAGTCTTCTTTTGTTTAGAAGATGAGCTGCTTTTACTGCCACTGCTACTCTCCTTGCTAAGGTTGCTGCTGGACTTCAAGGATGACGACTGACTGACTGTCCTCTTCCGGGACCCATGCTCTTGCCTGGAATCTTTCTGCAGGACTGGGGCAGCAGGAGACGGCAGCAAATCCTTCTCTTTAACAGCACTTGGCTTTGAAGACCTGGACAAAATGAACAAATTCAAGTTTTGTGCAGTTTTTCCTTAAAAACCAACCCCACCCCACCCCCTCCAAACAAAAAACCCCCAAAAACCCCAACATCACAAAACTTTTTTTTTTTTTTAAACAAACAAGGTTTTTGTTGTTAGACCTAGCAAACCAGATATGGAGGAGAAGAGAGAGAATAATCATCTCCGTGACTAGGTTTCTATGCAGCTAGATTGAACTCGTTTTCACCATTTTATTTGTTCTGACCTGAAAACACAGTAGACAAGTTCCAACCATAAAACCACATCCCTACAACAGTTCTTAAAAAAACACCCTAAATACTTACAATGTAAGAAATTAATGCCAATGTTAGCGCCAGCCTGTCTGTTGCAGACTAGTCAGCGTAACAGCTCAGAAAAAAGATGGTCCAGATAAATGTTCTCTGGAGCCCAGGAAACTGGAAAGCTTTCTCAGCGTAGCCTTTCAGTACGCTCTCACCTTGGCTGCTAAGGGCTACTCTTGACTACGCTTGGCTTCCCGTAATAATTATTTCTACACACTATTTTTATAAAATCATGTAGTTTCATTTAATTAAATGCCCCTCAGATGACTGCACTGGCAATCAAACAAGCATCAGAAATAATAGGTGAAAAAGCATAATCAAGGTAGAAATGCATCTGTTTGTTCTATGGCTGTTTCCTAACAAACAGTAAAACACTGTTTAACTCAGAATGGGCAAACAAGATTTCTAGCATCTGATACGTTGCAGTTTCTCACACATTTGTAATTTGGCAATTACTCACTATACAGAAATATTTTCCATGACATAATTATATCAGTTTTCAGTTGCTTGGTCTGAAATACCAGTTTTAAGAGGCAGTGGAAAAAAACTTACTTTTTCCTATGAATTAACATTGATTTACTCCAGAAGTAAATCAAATAAAAGCATAATAGCTATTACAAAAAGCATGAAAAATTACAAAGGTAACACACAAGTAAACGTTACTGATATTCTAATTCTATATTACTTTGCTTTTGTGTCACTCTCACTTTTCTTCAGCTAATCTATGAAGCAAAAGTGAGGCTAAATCCATGGATCCAAATCTCAACGCCATCAGCTTCCCAGACAATGCCAGTTAAGTACTTTAGTCTCAGAACTTGCTAAATGCAGAGTTACCAGTTTGGGTTAACTTAAAAGCACATATTTTGCAAGATCAAAAAGCTAGATGCACAACTGGTTTCTGAAACAAAACCAAACCCCACTGTATATTAGAGAAAAACCAGGAAGCATATATTCCATAATACACCAACCCTGCACATGGGGGTTCACCTTACTTCTGTTAAGTAAAACAATTGTCCTTGGCCAATGTTTTTGGTTATGGAAATTAATTTCCACCAACTACTAGTAGAAACTCCTAAGTAAATCTGTCTGAAGGGTAAGAAGCAATGAAATTTTATCCATTAATTAATAATGAGAAGACACTTTGTTGGGTGGGGAGGGAAGAAGAAGAGCGGGGAAGATGGGCACCATTCTCCTTGATCATCCTGAGCTTTCAATGTTGAAAACATAGCCAAGATACTCACTCCCTACTGCTAGAAGTCTTGTGTCCTGATGGAGCTTTTTCTTCCAGTTTCGTTTTCTTGCTTTCACTGGCTCTGTTTTCATCCTCATTCTAAATAAAGCAAACAAGAAATACGTCCAGGCAAAAGTCCACAGTTACAGCTTCACTGAGAGTGGCTGTGTTTCACATTACGAGACTTAATTTAGCAGGTGTCTTGCAGTGTACAGAATAAGGTATCTACAGACCACAGCAACATTCCCTAAAGCATCTAGTCTGCATCAAGTATTTGACCAGACGCTGATATTGGAACATAATGGAAAACAAGGTCTGGCTTCTAAATTACCAACCTGCATAAAAGAAGTAGCAGCTACATTGTTCATTTTAGCACAAACGTATTATCACCATGAAATACCAGAAAAATCTGCCAAAGGCTTCAATAAGAGATCGGGAGACAGATTTTATTTTGTGGAGCCTAACAGAGGTGTCTTATGAATGCCAGAAAAAGGTTAAAGTCTTGCAGTCTATTAAAGTAAGCTCAGAGATTTTTACATAAATTTAATCCCAAAGTCAAACGGTCTTGAAGGTAAATTTATAAGCTGTCTTCAGCAAGCACTGGAAGTATCAAAACAGTGAATAAAATGGCAAATAGGGCCTCACAGAATAAGTCATCTGGTAACATGACCCAGATTCAAACCCAAAAGGTTTCATTTCTGTTACACCGATGCTGCAACCCTGAGCCTTACGATTAAGGAAGCGCATGAGCAAATAACGTGTAGAAATCAAGCGGTGACAGTTGCGTACAGAGCACTCTCAAACCTAAAAACTGGAAGGGTGGGGGTACGGGTGGGTTTATCTTTAGTTGCCTCAAACAAGCTTGCATCTTCTTTGGTATGTACCAGTAAGCACCAGGGTAATCTGAGGATTCAAACCAATTAACAACCAGACCATTTGCTGGGTTAAAGCCTAAATTTCATCAGTCTTATCAAAGCTTTCTGGTTTAGATGTAAGAGCACAGATCTTTAATGCTGTAACTCCAAGCGCAGACTGAAAGGCGTAACTGGTCAAAGAAATAGAAGTCAGTGTATTCAGAGCCACTGGAACATGTGTGCGCATTCCCATGAACATTAGGAATTACACAGTTAAGACTTGCAAAAAATAATTAGTCACTGTACTGGTCAGAGTTATTCCAATTTTACAAAAAAGCTCATAGTTTCTCATTTAATATCCTTATCTAGAGAAAACAGGATTCATAGAAAGAGTACAGGAGAAACACTTGTTTCCAGTTACGTATCAAGCCTCCTAGACAACACTGATTTCAGTTAAGTGACCAAGTTTACTTAGGTTGCTCAGTAGGAAAACTGGTTTAACTGTAATTATCTATCTCCTCTGGAAAGTCAAACGACTCTCTGGATGCTATCATATTATCCTTTGATTCCACATGTCAACAAATTCTTACAACCGCTGCCAAATCCCTGTCAAAATGAAATTTTCAGAATGAAATCCAGAGTAGCATGGCAATTTTTGAATCCCTGAACCAGGGGTTCACAGTCCTAGCTTCATGTAAACCAGAAATGTATAAAAACTCATTGGATCACTGATTCCATCTCACAGTCACAGGTTTGCTCTTTATACAGACTGTCCTGTTCTGAGGTTTCTAAAAGCAGTTTAAAATTACACCACCAACTACTTCTTACCATTCCTCCCTCCAAAAGTATTACTTCTACTCAGCTCTCCCATTGATTCCTGTCCATTTTACTGCCTCCTTTTATTCCTGCTTTTTATTTACAGTTGAAAAGATGAAATGCTTTTTTGGAAAAGACTAACTATCATTATGGAGAGATCCCTCTGCTCTGAGACTATGGTTTCTGCTGCTGCCGTGCCCCAGGCCCCTTTCTGCCCCATCCCTTGTCCTGGCAATATGCAGTTGCATGATTCACTGGTTAAAGGAGCTGATCCAGCTGAAAACTGCCTTTTTTTTTTTTTTTTCCAGGTGAATTTTCCATTGGATCAGCTGCCTGCGCTGGCCTGCAGTGCAACAGCAGCTGGTGCCAGATCAAGTGGAGGCATGAGAGGGCAGGATGCAGTGCTCAGAGGTACAGAAGCTGTGCTACCTCCATGAGCTCCAGCTACATCGCTAACGCTCCTATGGGTGCAACCTTCTCCCTTCCCCTCTCCACTCCAAAAGAAAACCCCAATAGTCTCTACTGTAACATCACAGGGATAATTGATGTGTTCTACACAAAATCACTAAGTCCTCTCCTAAACTGCTCAGCGTCCCTACACTGAGGTATGATCTGGGTTGCTGGACTACACGCTTGACACCAGCAGCAATCCACTAAGGGGCTGAGATAACTGGTAAATCTCTGTCTACGGAAGTATCACCTGCTTATGTTTCCTTTTGCCTTTTGTAGAACTTTTGTCGGATGGCTGCTTCTGGGATTCTCTTGCGTGCTTCTCCGGCACGTTCTTCTTTTCCACTTTGGGTGTGTCAGCATCCTTGTAAGGCTTCCCTGGTATTCTTGATAAGAGGCTCAGGTCAATCTTCACAATAAGTGGGTACCTTTCATCAGGATCACTGAGTGGTGACAGAAGCTCTTTCTCTTCCATAGGAGAGAACATTCTTTGCCGAAAAAAGCTGTCATCCTCCTCCATGGAAGATTTAACAGGAGTCCTATTGCTCTCAGAGTATTTGGGTGTTTGTGATGAAGGAGGCAGGCTCTCATTTTCATCTGAATCAGAGGATGAGGTATCTGTTTCTATGAATTCCCTGGATTTCTGGGCAGATTTGCTTGAAGCCTTGTATTTCTTTTTCTCTGTGGTAGGACGAGGGGAAGATTTGGGCTCTTTCTTTATATTGGGTTTTCTGGAGCCTTTTGTGGCTGCCTTATGCCTGTTTGAAGGTATATTTGTTGCCATGTCTACTGGGGTTTCACTTTCTATTTTAAGACCTCCTCTAGGCTCTTCAACAGATGTCTTTTCTGTTTTCTTGGGCTGCTTTTTACCTACAGTCCTCCTCTGTGCTGAGCTGTCACTCTGGGCAGGTGATTTCTGCCTGCCGCGACTGCTCTCCGAGCCCTTTTGGGTGGGTTTGGAATCTCGCCCCGGTGTAGAAGAAATTGAATCCTTGGATCCACTTTGATCAGTGTACCCGCTCCCTGTCCCCTGATCCCGTCCCTCTTTTTTGTAGCCTTGGGAAGATGGGATATTGCTGTCCACAGAAGAAGCTGGTGACACTTTATGTGAATTAACTTTGTTCAACCAGTTATCCAGTTGCCATTTGTTTGTTGGTGGTGGCTCTGGCTAAAAACAAGTAAAAAACCAGCATTAGATAAAATAGTTCACATTTCTTCCATCTTTTGCAGGACAGCTGTACTATGCTGCTTGCCAAAGCAAGAAGTAGATGAAAAAACCTGAGATAAATGAATGAATTACAGGTTGATGAATATAGGCTTTCACTTTTCCTTCATCTGAAGCAGCTGCTATCAACAGGCAGTACTTGCTGCCATAGCTTTCCAGACTAAAAGTCCACAGTTTTTTAAGCTACTGTTACTCTAATTTCTGCAATCCAACAGGTAACTGGTGGTAAAAATCACCTCAAAGGCAAACATCAAATATGTGCTTAGGTAAAGAATTATTACCATATCCAACTACAGGTGCTTCAGCAAAAGAATACTGCATCTTGAAAGTGATCCCACATTTGTCAGTAACTTTTTTTTAAAACAGTTTGAGATTCCGCTCCCCCCCCCCTTCTTTTTTTTTTTTAAAAACTTGTGAATTTCCCCCCCCCCCCCCCCTTTTTTTTTTTTGCTTGTAAAACTCAAGATTAATGCCAAGCTAATGAAGACAGCCCAAATACACATCAAATCCTACCTCGGGGGACGCACTCTGTGATGGTTCATTAGCTTCACTATCACTGGAACTGCTTTCACTTTCAGAGTCAGATCCCGAACTGCTTTCTGATCCACTATGGCTGCTCGAGTCATCCCTTGAATTATCTGCTCCTTCACTGTTATGCTGCGAAGGTTCAGAATTACTGAAAATAAAAATGAGGAAAAATAAACAAACACTAGCCAAGGCACAAATACATCCTAGAAGCCCTTTCATAAGAGAGAATAAAATGTAGTATCTTAATGAACATTTACTAAAAAATTCACCCTAACTGAACACAGTTCACCTTGGAAACAAAGAACAGCCTTTGTTTTTAAACCCTTCACAAAGTAGAATAGAATAATATGCAGGATATATGCTATTTAATCACTGATTCAATTCTAACCACCTTTTGCTTTAACACAAGACAAAAGACAAACATGAATTTTAGAAATGAGATCAGTCAAGAATGCTGACTGGACTGAATACCACCACTCTCCTTTCTATGCCGCAATCTTTTTTTTCCTACCTTCCAGGTGTGCTCCTTGGCACTGTCTTATCGCAGTCCTGCAATTAAGAGAAAGAGCATGAAGCTTCTAGAAGTTACTTTAGGATTGTATATATAATTAAATTGCAAAGCAGCAATTTAGAGCCTTTAAATTTCTTAAATTATTTAGCCTGATTAGCATCTTAATTCAGCACTTGCAGCAGTTTAAATTTGTCTGCATTTTTCTTATACAGAAAGAAAAATAAATCAGAATTTTCTCCAATTTTTCCACCGCAAACCTATTAGAGTCCTGCACATTCCGACTACAGCTTCTATTTCCACCACTCACTAATACCATGTTTCCATCTTTTTGAAGCAGATGATTCAACATTTTACAATGCTGTTCCTGAGATGCCCACAGTAGTAGGAGCTAATCAACTAAATGTACTATCTCAAAGTTTTCCACATGAAGAAAATAAAGTACTAGAACTGGGAACAGGAAGACAAGAAACGAGAGGAGTGTGGATTACGGCCGGGTAGCACGGACCCTACAGGTATTTTTAATTTAGCATGCTAAATGCCATTTCTGGCAGAAGCTGCACAAAGCTAATATTGACAAAGAGGAAAAAAAGAGGCCTTTTCATAAAAATTAAGGTGCTGCTATAATCCCTGTTACAGATGCAGTATCCCTTATCATCCCAAACACAGTCCCAAGCTACTAAGTGGCAGAACATGAATGGTTCTATCTTTAAATGGTGGGCCTTTACATATGTTTTGACATATACTATTGCCATTTTATGTTCAGAGAAAGCACATTTGAAATCAGTAAAACAAGATTTTCTAGGTAAAAGCATACTGTTTCCACAAAACACACAATTTTTCCCAAGTTTACATTTAGGAATACCTGAGGTTTCTCTAAAAACATGCTATTTGATTTTTGTTTCTTAATAATAAATCTCTTAAGCTGCTCAGTTTGCTGTTGGAATATGGAACACTGCTGGAGTACTGAACCATGAGTGCATTCACTATGTTTTTCTGAAACTCTGATTTAATGAACATACCTGCTCTCCATCGCTGTCTTCACTACTGCTAAGTTTTAAGTCATCTTTCAACATACTAAGTAAAAGGGAGAAAGTGAGACAAGTTTTTCCAAGTACTTCAATTACTTTCAAAGCATTCTTCTATATTTCAACATGCTATTGTTTATACTACGAAGTAGGCTGCGTGGGTGAAATCCACAAGATACCATTCTAACATTTAACGTTTAAGAACGGTGAGTTAAGTCATTCTTTAAAGAAGAATAAGGATTCTAGTACTTTTGACTCCTTAGTCCATTCTGTTAAATTTAGAAAGGAAATTTGACACGATTTACTAATGCAGGAGGAGCTAACTTGTGTATGTTCAACTTCTTATACACAGTGGCCAAGAATACTTTTTAAATAGAATCAAGAAAGCTAACACTAGTGGCTGTTTCCTGTCTCATGGCAACAGTGCAACTGTTCTAAGCAATAATTATTGTACTATTATTCAAAGCCGCAATTATTTATGGTAGTAATACATACACAAAATATTTCACAACACTGAAAAGATGCGAACACACTGAAAACATAGCAGGGTGCAGGGCCTTTGTGCTTACTGAAAAACACCTTTGATTAAAAGAATAAAATGTCTTACTCTGTCTGGTTCGATTCACATCTGGAGAAAGAAAATGAGAAAGGATTAAGAGTCTAATACTTCTGAGTTTCACAGTATAGCTGTTCTACTGATGATCTGAAAAGAAACACCAGCTTCTAGGACCCACTTCCTGACATATTTTTCATTGCTATCCTTTTACAAAAGATGCATTTATCTCTTTTTTTATGTTTTTTGACCGGATCACAATCACTTTTTTAGAAAATTATTTAAAACTGTATTGTCACAGTAAACATCATCTCAACTTTCTTCCCATGCATCCCAGTTCAACTCATGTCCAATGCTACCCCTTGTTCTTAGATGTTCTCACGTTCCCCAGCTTCGGAAATAGCAGAGTTCCTTCTTAGCGGTCTACTGTGCTATGACAAAAGCAAAGCCAAATGGTGAACTTCTGTTTCTACCACTTGTTGAGCTGGCTGCATATGTGCATCTTCTTAAACTACATGTTTTTGGGAAACTGACCCTAAGTCTGTAAGAATTAAGGGGGCTTTCTTTTTGTTCTATTCCCTTCCCACAAGTCATGTGCTTTTTAACCTTGCTAATACTGTAACGTGTGCACAGACAAGCAAAAGAACTAGACTTCATTTTCTGATTGCATCACAACAAATGTTAACTTAGAAGAACAAGTTCTCAGAATCTACAACCACTTTCATTAAACGTACAGTCAGGTGGTAAACTTTTATTTTCATGGATGTACTTGTTTGGAAACCATCTTTTAACAGCAGATAATTGATTTTCAGGTATGAGAAAGGTGGGCTACAGCTATCTAGAATATTCCAGTTGCTTTTTATTTTTTCCTTCCAATTGCATGGTTGACGAAGTAAAATGTTGGGTCCATGTGCATAACTAATAGAAATGGTGCATAACTAATAGAAATGTTTGCCAGTCAGTTGAGAGATCTAGATCCCAAACACAGTTTGCCGTCTCCTCCGATACAAAACAGTTCCCCATCCTGTCCGTTTGTGCAACTGCTACAAGCTGCTTCCAGCTGACAGCTCTGCAACGCACACGTTTGACAAGTCCCATCCTATCCCGCCCACTGGTACATGCTAATACCTTTCTGGTTCACAAGCCAAGTCCAAGGTCCAAACTCTTGCACACCTATTCTGACAGCTGACAAGCAAACAGGGGAACAGAAAGGCGGCACAGTGTATTTGTTATTCACTCCAATGTGCCGTATTTGCTCTACTGTCCCAGAAAATGGCTGCTTAAAAATGATCCCCTTTTTCTGCCAGTCACGAAGCGTGCTGAAGAGTCTGTGCAAGATCCAACACATTCTAGTAAAAGAAACAGCTATCTTCCAAGTCTCTTAAAATTCCACTGTTGTTTGAGAAACATTTTCTCAACAGCCACTTACGATTTGGATTGATGACCATTGGATGTTTTTGATGAAGGATTATATCGTTCTAGAAGAAGAAAAGCAAAATGCACAGTTGAAAACTCAGCCAGCAGAGTAAGTCACTCCCAAGTTGCCAGAAGTACACAATTTTAGATAAACCAAGAACGGGTGAGGAGACAGCAGAAAGTAATAACTAGCTGATGCCAGGTACAATCTCCCACAGACTGAAGAAGAGTGGATGCAGAGACAAAACACTAAATACAGCAAATAATTTTATCAAGAAAATCTAGAAAATTATTTAAATGACTGCTATCTAAACCAATACACACTGAATTTGTTATTAATGGTGTGAAAAACTGTTTTGCTTCTATTATAACTAATCTATTGCCTTTTACATGCAGGACACAGGATATAAAGCAGCCTGTCAGCCTCTGACTTGTTTCAGCATCCCTTCTTAGCTTCTTAGCGGATGAGCAATCTTTAGATCCAGAAATCAAACTCAGAAACCAATTCGTACAACAGGAATACATACTGATATAATCCGCTTTTCAATTTGGGGGAGTTTCTTTCCATTTTCTTTAGTTCTGGCAAATTGCATAGTTCAATAGAAACAAGAACTGAGGCAATTAAAAGATGCCCAGAAAATTCACAGAGGACTGAAAAACTGGTTCTGTGTTTTGACTAACCTTGCCTCTCCATTTACACACATAAAGATCAGTTGCTCCTATAACGTAAGTCTATGGTTTAGCATTATGGAATTAAAGTTTTAATTTGTTTCCTTAATTCCCCACTGTATAAGGTGTTTAGATTAAGCTGCTTGTGAATATCTAAGAATAAACCATACTTCTTTTACTATTTAATCTGTTTAATCAGTTCAAAAGGGAGTGGAAAGACCTTTGGGAGGTAACAGCGCAAATCTAATTCAATTTTACCTGGTATGTTACCTGTGTTAAATTATTAACTTCAGTAACATTCAAACAATAACATACAACATACAACAATACAGGTGAAGAGATATAAAAAGCTGCTTTTGTCTTAAATCTGAAAATGCATCCTGGGACAAGAAATACAAGGATATTGCTAAGCATATTACTATATGAGTTCTTGACCAGTTATCTCGATTTTAAAAAGACGAAGTGAAAACGAACAGTGAAACTGCAATGTGCTTCTTCTATTGAAATATAAACATTAGCGCTACTTTGGTTTCTAATATGTCCCCCAGCAGGGATTTGTATTTTTTTAAAGGATGTTTTGTTTTAGTACTCAGCTTTTTTCAACTAGATCAACCAAGGAGGCATTTTTTCAAGAACTATAAAAAAGACAAATTAATTTTTTTTTTCTAGAAGACAGTAACAAGCTTACAAATAGGTCATAACTTTCTAGATGTCAACAAGAAATGCAAAAGAAAATCAAGCAACTGTTTTATAGGTTAAAATTTGAGAAACTACAGAAAATCTTAACTCAGACTCCATCCTATGGCCAGTCTAGAAAATTTCATTCTCTAAAAAGCACGACAGACTAAGAATACCAAATCACAACAAAAACATTAAACACAATACAGGAAGTTTAATATACTTACTCTGTTCTCCAGTGCCAAAACTGGACTGTTGAGACTCCTAAGGGAATAAAAGATCAGAAATGTCTTTTTCACTGGGAATGTTAACGTATCAAAACCATGCTGTAATCAACATATTCTTTCCACTTAAAGGATGGCACCTAACCTCTAAAAAAGGGAAAAAACCTAACAACAGAACAGAAAGAGTGATTCTTCATCTGGGCCCCAACTCCTCTCTCCAGCCACAAGGGCACAGCCGGCACAGCGAAGGAGCGCTGCACGCTCCCCTTCCTCAGCTCAGCTCTCCCACTTGCTTGGCTTTAAGAAGGGCCATGAGCAGTTGTACTACGTGACAGCTGAAACTCCAAAATCCCTAAGTAACTTCCATAACTTCCGTCTTCACGTATGTTTAGCATGGAGAGGAACCATTCAGTATGTTTTTCTTTATCTTCCTTATACACGGAGAAGCTTTGCTGCTAGTTTTATGTATTTTAATTCAAATTCTTTTCTCTGCGTTTTTCTTTTTCAAACACATAAAGCATCGCAGCGGACAAGCAGTGAGTACAGTAACAACCTATCAACAACAACATCTCAGCTACAGAGGAGCCCAAGAGATTATGAAACTTAAAATCTGAACAGCCCTGCACACTGTGCCCAAAACCCCCCTCCTGCTATAGCTGCATGCGAGTCCCGGGTGAACGCGGCCAGGCACAGCTGGTCAACACATCGTTCCCCCCCCAGACCAGATCTTTATGGAGCTGGACAAGTCACTTCTACAAAAGCCAATAAACAATAATATGTGACTTCCTTTGATATACAATGAGTCTGTTACCTATAAAATCTAGCCTTGGAAGATGAAGTCTTACAAATTTAACACTTTGGCATTCCCATTCCAGAAAACCCAATTCTGACTCCCAAAATACAGAATCACACAGAATCACACAATCACTAGGTTGGAAAGGACCTTCAAGATCATCAAGTCCAACCATTAATCCAACACCACCATGTCCCCTAAACCATGTCCTGAAGCGCCACATCCACACGTTTCTGAACACTTCCAGAGATGGCGACTCCACCACCTCCCTGGGCAGCCTGTTCCAATGCTTGACCACCCTCTCGGTGAAGAAATTTTTCCTAATATCCAATCTAAACCTCCCCTGGCGCAACTTGAGGCCATTTCCTCTTGTCCTATCACTAGTTACTTGGGAGAAGAGACCAACACCCTCATCGCCACAACCCCCTTTCAGGTAGTTGTAGAGAGCGATAAGGTCTCCTCTCAGCCTCTTCTTCTCCAGACTAAACCACCCCAGTTCCCTCAGCCGCTCCTCATAAGACTTGTGCTCCAGCCCCCTCACCAGCTCCGTTGCCCTTCTCTGGACACGCTCCAGCACCTCAACATCCTTCTTGTAGTGAGGAGCCCAATATTGCTTTAGCAAACAAATACGCAGAGGCTACTGAGTTACTGAAAACCTACTTCTAGGCTAGAGTGCCATTTTAAAATAGGACCTTCCTGACCTCATTTTAAAATGAGGACAAATGCTGACCCCATAAATAAAAATTGAAAATGTTTGACTCAATTCATAAAGTTATACGCACACATTTTGCTTAAATGCTCTGGCAATGGCAAACCAGAATAACAGTTCAGCAATGAAATCCAGGTTTGTTGGTATAGCTGTGAAACAGTCTTCCCAAAACAGCCAAGTCAGTGAGGTGCAGTAGTTACATACACAATTTACAAAACTTAATGTTTTAAACACACAAACAACAGCAAAGCACTCATACATTTCTAACTTCCCGTAACTTCTTATTTCAAAAGTGAAAGTAGTTACAATAATGCATTGAACAAGTATCTTTTTGATAGGGAACTCTCCTTGTAAGGCATTTCAAATGCCTCTAATCTTTACTAATTTAAAGAAAGGAAGGGACAATAAAAATAAAATTAACCTGTGTTTAAAGCGCAAAGTGAAGATGAAGTTGGAGAAGCTTTATGACTTCAACAGATAGCAACAGCTAGACTTCCTTCAAAACAAAAACTGATTTTTATCTTTTACATAGATACAAGGAGTGCAAAAGTGATTCCCTGATTGCCTTTTTCCACTGCCAGCTTACACAAGTTGGCAAACTACACGTCAAAAAAGAAGTAAAGACCACGTAGTAATCAAACACCACATCTACTGAGCAACTGAGCTGGGGTGAGCACAAGATGAGGACCTGGCACCCGTTCTCAGCAATACACGTATCACAAATTCTGCAGAAAGCACCTGCCTAATTGCTCACTTTAGTCAACTCCTATTTTGAAGGCATAGTGCAGTCTTTCAGTTAAGCGCACTTTAACGAGGTGTTATGTTTGAATGTGCAACTTTTTCCAACTCTCTTGCCATCCATTTTGCCTTTGAATACATATCTAAGAAACTCATAGATTAAAAAAAAAAAGCTGTACTTTCAACTCCAAAGGTATTTATAGCAGTATCTTCTAAAGGTCTACTTCAGAAGGGAGGAGGACTTAAAGGAAGGAAACCCTTTTAACCAAAGTATAACAGACCACTGAGGTTAGATAGTGAAGATACTTAAGCAGGAAGCGAATTCACAGCTTGTACTCAAACACAAAAACTGTGGGGAGCAAAAACAGTCGCTAGCTGGATAGAACGGCAGTCAGGTACTGAATTCTCATTTCTAGGTTACCAGCTTGGCTGTAGTCCCGGTTGTGGAGAATGGGGCCCATTTCCATTTAATGTTTGAAATCTCAGGTCAGATCTCATTTTTGTTTCTCAGAAGAAAGTTTCTGTATTACAGCAGATCAAGGGACCTGACTGCTGGCCTTCTCAGTAACTCCAGCGCAGGGCAGATGCCGAAGAAACCTGGAGACAGAACCCACCTCTTCAGAGATGCCTCCAGGTCACTGCACAGGTATGCGGCTACAAAGACTGCCGATGCTCTTGCATTGCTTTGAAACGAAAAATTTCCACCCTCTAAGGAACAGCTGGGTTTTTTAATATATTTTACAAACATGCCAGTATTTTTGGAGTTTTTGACTGCGAGTCCACAGCTTAAAAAAAAGTTACACCGAATTATAGAGTGTTAGGTCATTGGATAACATTTTTTATCAAGGCTCAGGAATCTACATTTTTTTCATAGCATCCATAAAACTTTCCCTGACCTATTTTCATGAAGTTTTATCTTCTGATTCAAAGACTTCCTGATAATTATTAGCTATATTTATAGTAAATGCTGAGAGGCCCCAGTCAGGAGTCTGGGTCCCTTCAAGCTATTCACTATCCACACATAGGGAAAAGTCATCTTATCCCACCAGTCTTAAAAATAAAATTGACTGGTCCACCAAAGGGAGCTTAATTTTATGTGCGCAGGCAAAACATACCAAACTTCTGCACACACAAGGAATGCTGTGAAACACTGCAGTGTATTACTTGTAAATAAATTGAGCACAGTATTAAAGGGAAAAAGCCTTCCTCGAACAGTACTGCTTGATTAAAGTAAACCACTGTTTTGTTTTGTTTTCTGAATTCTGCTTTGGGTCCAGACTGCACAAGCCTATGGCTTGCTAACTCACTGGAATTCTGAGAAGATCCTGCTGCCAAGAATGACAGAGGGGAGAAGGCAGAGGAAATTACAGGCTTTGGATGCGGAGAGAGAAGTTGACAAAGTTCCATGGCTAAGATGTGCAGCCACAAAATAAAAAAGCTGGCAAAAAGTCAAAAGACTCAGAGCAGCCATAAATGGAATTTTTTGCAAACCGGGTGAAAAAACACCATCCAGGTCAATAGGTTCAAAAGAAACACAATCTACCTTTTTTGTTCAAACATCAACAAGATTGTGCAATCTTACGTAGTTTCTCTCTGTGTCACAAAGACACATATATCTCTGCACACCTTCTTTCTTCCCAACCTGAGTCAAATACCAGAGAAACACAGAAACAAGCAGTTCTAGCAACCCCACAGTCAGGTGTGCTCAAAAGTCTGTGATGGGAGAACACCTCCACAAAGGTTCAGGAATAAGTATTCAAAGCAGTGGAATAAGCACTCTTGTTGATGAAAAGCATGGAATTTCTTGCTTTACTATAAAAGGTAAGGATTATTTCCAGGTTCACAGTTTTATATAACATAGGAAATAAACCCTGACTAAAGGTAATATAGGCAAGATTAATATTGATCTAACTCATCATCATAACGTTAAGAAACTAGACAATGACATTTGTTTCTACATACACCTTCAAAAGTAAAGCTGAGAACTGCACAGTATGTTCCGTATTTTCAGCGCGCTGGAGAGAAGCAAGCAAGATGCAGCGAGACAGGAACACGCAGCACAGAGGGCGATGACAACAGGACTGCCCATAGCTCTGGGGTATCTAGCCAGTATGAGAACCTGAACTGCTGAACTTCGCACCAGTCTGCGGGAGTTTTGTGCATGTGCACTCACAACATGGGACCTGGAAACTTTGGCCAAAAAAAGATGATGTCAAAGCATTCACATAAGATAATCTGTTTTAAGACATTACATTAGAGATGTCAGTGAGAAAGTAGTCTTAAAATACTTCAGTGTTCTGTCTTGGGGAGCAATTTGGATCAAAGAGGAAATTGATAGCAGCAAGTGGTGCTCTAGCACAGCAGCCTGGTCAGAAAAAGCATAGTCTTCTTTATTATAAAGGTAACTTTGAAAAGACGAACAGCATCATATCTTCACTCTGAAGTTATGCCAAATTAGGGGCGGAGTACCCCAATCCATTTCAGAGATATGTTGAGTCTGGAGAAAAATTATACTGTCGAGTTAAATCTTTTACCGGTAATCAGTAGACACAGGAAACAAAACATGAATTCTTGAATGAGTCAGCTATTGCAAGCTGAACGGTAGTTGCTGAAGTTGCTACCCACAGCTATCTACCCTGCCTATCTCTACCCTGCCTACCCATCAGCTTCCAAGATAACTGCAGATTGCAGAGCTGTATTTCAAGGCAAACAATCACCAGTGCCAGTTTGCCTTAAAACCCTGCAGCTGGGGCTGCCAGACCCAGCCTCAGGGGAGGGAGCAAGCAGCTGAGAGCAAGAGAACTCCTTCCTCAGAGGTGTCAGCTCAAGCAGGTCACCTGGAAATATGCCCTGTGCTGTCAACGGCAGCAGAGCCCGACTGATTTCTCTTTAGAATTAATAGCTTAAACACTTCAGTAGTTATTCAGTACATGGGAGGTTAGGAAGAGGATCTTTCGGAATAAGTGATCTGAAAATTTCTTTAGCAAAACATGTGATTTTAAAACTGTTTTAATTCTTTTGTAATCGAAAATGTAAGATCTAATAGAACTACTAATGGACTTCAAAATTATGAGGAAAATTCAGTTTATGCACAAAAGTGCCTCTAAATTTCACAACATTTACCTGTCAGCCTCCATTACTTTGCTAGATGGAGGTAAACACACTTGCTTGGTTCTACACAAAATGGTGCAAAGCGTTTCCATAATAGGGAAAAACGCTCAATGGCATTTTCAAGCTGCACAAGTATCCTGAAGAAGGCTTGAATTTATGAAACAGAAATAAAAAACTGAAGGAAAGTTATATTATAGATATTTTTGCAGACTGCTCTGTGTGTGTGTAAAACAGGAAAAACGATGACCTTCTTCATAAGGCTACTGCTGACAAATGTTGTTGTGAGGCAAGATGAAGAGATACAAAGCACTGAAACAAACACAGAACTATACAGAATTGAATTTAAGAGTTCCAAAATCCTGATCTTTAATAGAAGTTACTTTTTCAACAGCATTCAGTACTTGACCACAGCACTGACCTTTGTTGGAAAAGGAAATTTTGACGGTTCAGTTTTGCACGGTGTATGGATAGCAGTCAACGGAGGAGGCCAAGAATGGGTCATCTCCTATAACCAGAACAAAAAAGGAAAGCTATTAACAAAATTAAAGCAAAGCCTTCAAGTTACAATCTTGATTCAAATGGTAACCCTGTCTCTGAATTTTCAGTTCATTGTCCACACTTCACTAAGCTTTATATTCAAATACTAATTTCCCAAATGTGTAACAAACATTTTACACATAAACCTAAATCTCGAATTGCTACCCATGAGAACAGGTAGTTAAGACATAGTAACAAGCAGAAAGAAGACATAATAACAAGCAGAAAGGCATAAGTATGTAAAATTGGTTGGCCTGCACACAAACTGCAGTAGAAGTCAGAGTTGATCATTTCAGACTGTGAAGAGCACATTTAGGACAGAGGGGTACAAAGAAGAATCCTAGGAAAGGGAAACCTATAAAGTTTGAGGAAAAAGGGGGAAATGAAGTGCCTGAAGCTGGACAGAAAGTGCCTTGTATTCTCTCAGAGCATCTCCAAAGACCATGGAATACTGAAGGTCAGAGCAAATGGTAAGCCATTGAACGGTAAGCCATGGAAATGCTCAAGGGGAATCTGACAATTCTTTTGTAGTAGCAGACATATGACCAGGGGATCACACGAGGAATAAAAAGACTTGAGAAAATAACCTAGGTAGAAGAGAAAAGAGAGTTCTGCTGTGGGGTAGCAAAAAAATTAGTATAATCTAGAAAGATATCAGTATGTAAGGATGGTATTTTGGTGGAAGAAATGGGTAATTCTGTTAGGTTAACAGGGAGGTGGCCTAGAAGAACAGGGCTGCAGTGAGGGTATCCCAGAGATGAGGTGCACAGCCCGCAATGCCCTGCACCCAGCTCGCGCACAGGTCTGCTTGCAGCTTTCCCCCATCTACCTGCACTAGAGGAGGAATTGAGGAGCCCTCCTGTAAGGACTTGCAGCCAAGTCAATTTAAAAGGCACTAATCAACTGCCGAGTACTTTCCACCTCCTTAGCAATGTTTGCATTTTCAACAAATACGTTATCAACAAAAGCACAGAGAACTTACTTTTAGAATTTCATCCACGCAGCTCACATCACCAGATGCTGATGCCTACAAATCAAAACTCAAGATTAACGTCTCCTAAAGCAAATTTTCCTTAAAAGATGCCAGGGGCTAGAAACAATTAAAAATAAACTTCAATCCTTAAAATGATTCATATGGACTCTATATAGATACAAACACACCTTGTTAATTCTTTTCAGCAACATTAATTTTAATATCAGATAGATCCGTACTTTTATGGTATGAGTCGCATCCAGTTATGAAAAGCAAATACATGAGATCTATAAAACTGCCGGCATACTCTCTTACTTTTCACTTGACAGTTAAAGTGATCATAGGCAGTCAGTGATATTAAAAACTGAGAGAGACTTGGGGGGGGAAGAAGAGAATCATAGCTTTCAATCATTTCCTGGAAGAAGTCACTCAATAATATCTGAATTCAAATGCATGACCGTGAATGCACAGTAATGACAAACTGCATGATGAAATAAAACATACATCTAGAAACAGCAATAATTATGAAGCTATGAATCTTCTGCATCCCTGACTGCTACAAGCAGAAAGGAAGCAAAGCTACTATACTATTCACTGCATCAGCATGAGCATGTCAAGTCTTCACGAATAAGAAAATAACTTATTTCCAGATTTTCTTACCTCTGTCTTGGATCTTATTTTGCTATTTGTTGAAATCCCAGGAACAAAGGTTTTTCTCTAGCTACCACAACTCAAGCAGTTAAATAGGAGATGCAATGACATTTTATTATGAAGAAAGGCACTCTCCTTGTAAGTGAGCTGTAGTCAGACTCTGTGCCTTAACGATTCAAGAATTACCAAACTACTAAAAGTTGTTAACCCAATAGTATTTTGTATCCAGCATAAGTGATAAAAGTTCTGAGCCTTCTTCAATTTGGTGTGCTTTAGGGTTAGCTTATTTTCCCTAGGTGAACATATAATAATCACATCCAGTAATTGCTACACACTTCAAAAGAAAATCTGATATATGCAGATAGTATCACTAGCCTAAGACAAGGTAGCTCCCAGTAACGACAACATATGTATCTAGCTTGTCAGAATACTTGTGAATATCCTGCTATTTCACTAACTTCTCACTACAGAACAGTCTACGAAAATTAGCCTCCCTGGGTTAAGTTTGCCTTTCCGAATGTCTCCTGGCCTTCACTTAATAAAAAACCACACAGTATTCACAGGGAAGAAGCAGAAGGAAAAAATAATTACTTTTGCAATTCCTCATTTAAAATACAGGTCTTCACTGCATAAGTTTAAGATGCTTTGCGTAACAAAAAAAACACACTGTTTACTAAAAACTAAATTTCGGTTATGTAGATTGGGATTTTAAAGAAGCTGGAAAATCCCAGCCCAAAGGGACTTACATTTAAGAAGCCAGGAGACAGAGAGCAACTTACATCTAGCGGTTGGGAAGGTATTTTCAGCTTGGTTAGATGTGCTTTGCTGCTAGGCTTCAGCTCATTCACGCTGCTGCTGTGAGTCTGACTACTGTAGTGTTCGGATGATAACTTTGGTTCCATGGATTCCTGTCCATCCATTGGCCTCACGTACGCAGTGGGTTTCTGTAACATTGAACTGGACTTGGACATTAGTGAAGGTGGAAAAGACTGATTAGAGTGTTGTCCACTTGAAAATGAGGGTACACGGGAGGGAGAGTCCCAGTTGGCATCAGGGTCCCGGGGAGATTTTGAACGTTGATGTTCTTTGCTGTGGTGATCATTTCCATGAGATCTCGAATGGCTGGAGCTCAACGAAGAAACAGCAGATGGTTTTCCAGGGCTGGAAGAACGAGGTTTGGAGTGTTCAGACCCATGCTGGCTTTTTTTGCGGCTGCTGCTGCTACTGTATGAGTCACGGTCGTGCCTCTGGCCACTACTGCTAGTGTTATTGCCACTGCCACGCTGACTACTGTGTCCGCTCTGTAAACCCGAGGACCGTTTCTGAGATTGCGAGGAAGTGCTAGGTGCTGGTCCTACAGGAGTCCATTTGCTGCTCTGATGCGAGCTAGTATTATGTCTCTGATCACCAAAGAAACTTTGGTTCGATTTTTCATCTGGTGTTGATGGTACGGTTGGTTTGGGAATTCCAACAAGCTTTTGTAGCGATCTGTCTCCTATAAGATCCTTCATTTCATCATAATTACCAAGCATGCTCTGAATACGACTAGACAATTTGTCTTCTTTGCTTGTCTGTGAAAATAATTTTTTAAAATAATGCTTTAAAAATCAAAATTTCACTTTCAGTTAATTGACTTGATAATCTACTGCAGTTAATCTAAATTCCAGGGCTAAGATCATGGCTAGCATCCACGTCTTTTTTGCCACTGTTTCCAATTCCCAATTTTAGTTCTTAAAGCAGTAATTTAACACCCTAAAGCATAAGGAAAAGATGTATTTCAGCAGCAGGAACAGTTGAAACAGCACTAATCAGTGCTTCAAGTAATACACTGTCGAGCTGGATGCAAGTTTAAAAATTGCAGATGCCTACTGTCACCTTAAAGATTATTTCTCTAATACAGAATGTATTACTCCTAAAAAGTTTTAATTAACAGTAAAATAAAATGAGCTTAATCTCATCACTGTATGTAATTTTTAATTGGTATTTATACTGGCATAATTCTTGTTGCCAAGATGATTATATATAAGAAAGGGTTCGTTCTTATATAACCAGTTTGTTTTCACATCAGGTATACTCTATCATTACCCATGCATCCCAACCAGCTTTAGTTCACTTCATACACACGGGATTTGATTATCAAGCACGGTAAAGTGATGGGAGGACAGGAATAAAAAGCAAGCAAACAAACAAAATCCTTCTCAGCTTTCCTCCTCCAGGAGGACAGTTTTCAGTCACAATATTTTACTTCTTGCAAACCAGCTGAAATTGTGATAAGGGATAAAGGGTTTGCTTTCAATATGAGTTTTGAAAATCTTAAATGGTACTTTTTTAGAACGCTCAGTATTTTTTTTCTTCCCCAGTTCCGTTCAACAAATCAAACCTGGAAGGAAACCTGGCCCAGGTTTAAAGCTGTACGAGATCATAAACAGTCAACTCCTTCAAAACAAACTAAAAAATCAGATACAAACAATTGGCATACTAGTTAAAGCTGATAATTGTATCATATCAGGCATTTCAGCATTTAAAATTAACCTCCTATTTAAACATTCTCTTTCTGACCTTACCCAGGTCTGGATTACATTGATTGAAGGTTAGAAAGTTTACCAGCAGGCTAAAGCACCACAAAAAAAGCAACGTGGCATGACACAACGGACAGTTGAAACAAAAAAATTGTTTTCAGTCACTGTAGCAAAAGCTGAAGAAAGCAAAAAAATTTTATGGTTTTATCATCCCTTTTCTCACTTCCTACAAAGCAGTCCTTCCTTCCTAAGTATTAATATAAATCTGCCAGTAGAGCTGGTTAATAACTGTCCATCCTTATTTTCAGGCCCTGCTTAAATACTTGGTTGACATTAAGAGCTGTGGATCTAGAAAGAATGCCAATGAAAATAAATTTAAAATACAAATTTGCATATGACTTCTGCTATAAAAACTGCATTTGCAAGAACTGCATAAACTCACAACTTTGTATGGTTCAGCAAAGAGAGGAGAGTTAGGTGGAAAGGCTTCTTCACCCTGTTGAATTTCTTGATTTCGCCTTTCCCTTTCTTTCATACGCAGCACATTCCGGTCTTCACGGTTCATGTTGCTACAAACAGAAAAATAATTTCTGATCACAGAAGGACACGAGGAGGAATGCAAGTGCACACAGTTAGCCCTGTACCTGTTTTGCCAAAAGAATGATCTCCGTCAAAACGCCCTGCTGACCATAACTCCTCAAGACTGCAAAGGTGTTTGTCCAATTTAAAACACCTTGCACTTAGAAGAGCTATAACCCACCATCTAGCTTCTAACAGGGAAAGTTTATGCAGTAATAAAAAGAAGAAAAAAAATCCACAAAGTCCTCAGGCAAGTAGCTATTTCAAACCACTTCACCTGCTTGAATCATTTAGCTATTTCAACCCACGCTGCACATCTCCCATTCATTTCTAAAATACTTTTTCTCCCCCACATCCCCCAAATGTTCTGCAATTTTACTCTCTTATCCCCCCACCCATTCAGTGCCTGACTTCTACTGTAGGTTTATTTTATTGTTGCTGCTGACATGCCTTTCTTGGCACCCATTCTCCAACATATTCTAACCTCAAGCTTTGATATTGTTTCCAGCTCTGCCTTCCTCCCAAAAGACATTTCTACTCAAAACAGTAATATCAGTGGAGTTCTGGCAATATTGCACCTTTAGTCTTAGACCATACAGTGTTCTGCTACTGCAAAAATGCAGATTGAAAACTGAAAATCCTTCTTTGCGGTTTGGTATTGCTACTTGAGTTAACAGCAATACATCAAATTGTTGCAGCACAAAAAAAATGTTGGAAAAGATTCACTTTGAGCTTGATAAAGCACTGGGACTTAAAAGGAATAAACAAAATAAGATGATAAATAAGATGGTACTAACTCTTTTTACCATGTGCTATACTTCATATCAAGAGATTTATAAATGTGCCTTACTGATCTGGAAAAAGTACGGTTGGTGCTTCCAGGAAAGAAAGAAGATTCTTCCCAGTTCTTGCACATAATTTGTAGTGTAAAATAAAAATGTTGTCTGCTTAGAAAATTATTATTTCATGTTTTTAGAAATAAAATATGTATTTGCTACAGCATTACTTTGAAAGCTATGCAAAACCAGCTATTCCATTCTAAACAAGACGACTTCAGCCTACCACTCAGTTTTTAAAATATTAAGTCTTTCCACCTTAATGACATTTTAGCCTCTTACTGCAATTTCTTACTCATTTGGCTTCATTTAGTCTGATACTCTGAATATACTGAAATCTAAGAGGATGCCAAAACCAGAATAAACCCCCAGTGTAAGGTTAAATGCTTGATGCTTTTTAAGGCAACGGGTTTGTTCTATTTCCCTGAAACATTTGCATTGTAAACAAGGTAAAAGCATTAGCATAATCCATCTCGATGCTGATGTCAAGCCTATGAATACAATAACTTTTAAATTACTTGTGAAAAATCACTTTTTTTCTCCAGTTATCCTGTAATCAGCTGAACTCGTGTAAAGGCACATGAACACCAAGGCTGCCTCCTGAGAGGGGGACCTGTACCCCGGCACCTGGCAAGCAAACTACCAGGATCATTTGGTCATTAATGGCAAACTTGTTTTAAAAGTTGGAGGCTTAAAAAGTTTATTCTTCAGACTGCAGCCCAATTTCTTACACATGTAGCATTTAAACAGAGACGAGTATCAGTTTTAATTATAGATACTGATGAGTTAAAGCCAACTGGAACAGTCTAAACCTGTGCCATTTTACTATTAAAGGCAAAATGTGAGGCAAGGAGTAGGAGTACCCTACCATTGAGTAGTTCATTCACATCAATACACTAAGATTGCGAATGATCTACAGCTGTACATGTCGCAGATTATAATCTTAACTAAGAATTTCACATCTACATTTTACAAATAGAGGGTTAAATATTTACAAAGACCTTTACTATTTTTGGGAGAGACAAGCATCATCTTTCAAAATTGTATCAACATTTACTATAACTCTTGGGACTGAGGGAAAAAAACAACATTTGTACCAGCACTGTCACATGAAAGGAACGTTATAGCAAAGATCCACTTGAGATCAGAGTTGGGGCAAAACCAGAGCTGATACGGCTATACCTGCCAGGTCAGTGTAAAATTAGTCATCGGAAATATACCAGCTAATCACACTTTTTACCACTCCTCCCCAGTCTTTTGTAGTATAATAAATGAAAAACATCTTCATGGGTAGTCGTCTGACTGTATGGGGATTTGGTTTAGGTTTTTTTAGTTCTTTTAAATTTTTTATTAGAGTCAATAGTTTGAATGAGATTCAAGTTAGACTTGTTTGTATCTAATCTTCTAAATCTCTACACAGGTATATTTTAAGTACCTACAATGTGTACTTAGCTATTAAAATCACACTAGCATTAAATGTGTAAATAAATGAAGTTAGTGGGGCTTCCTTAACTCTGTGCTTCAGACAGCTTCCCACTCAAATTTGTATCCTCCACAGCTACAAAACGTAACAGAAGATCAATTTGCTTGTGTTCAGGAAAGGTAAGCAGTAGAGGTACCCTGAAAAGCAGAAGACTAAGGCATGTCTACCAAATCAACATTGCTAGCAGTTAACCTCAGCATAAAGGAAACTGCAAAACGAAGCTTTCAGACCACTCGTAGTTATAACGAACCTTTAAAATCCACTATCTAAAATTCACGACTGTGATCAAAGTTATGTACTATTTGCTGGTCCTCAGGTTTTTTGCCAAAGTCAGAGCAGACACCAGCCCCGTCTCACGCTGACATGAGAAGCTCCATTCTCTCCCAGTTTTGATGCTGACTGGTGGGAAGGAGCTCTGCCCGTGCCGCTCCCACCACTGCTGCAGACAGTCAGAGCTGCTTCTCCCTCTCCCACATCCACACCCGCATCCCAGATTCAAACCTTTCCCCACAGGATAAAAGGCCAGGAGCAGCTTGGTGCAGCCGAGCTCCTGCCACCCCTACCCCACCCTCTGGGCAAGAGGACAGCATCTCTGCTCCTCCCTCCCTGCACACCGGGCCTGGAAGTGGAAGATTAAGAACTTGTTGACTTGTACCTGCTGCTATCGAGAAGATCCTGCTATAATTTCCCTTTCCCTCTTCCTGGGAGGCCTGAGCGAAAGTGTGAACGCCCAGGAGGAGCAGAGCCAGGCTAAGGGAGACAAAACTAACGCTCCCGCAGCAAGGACCAAAGTCACCTTAATTTCCACATCTGGGGAAAGAAAAGTTGAAAAATTAAAAGAAATTAGAAAACAGGCCTAAAGCACACCATAGTATTTCCATTTTTAGAAAATCTAATTCTATACAGTTTGAGTCATTATTTGTGCACAGTTAGCCACGCTGTACCCTGCACAGCCCATTTAGCACTTGATTTCACTACACAGCTGACTGTCCAAATCTCATGCCTCTTCTCCAGCTCAATAAGGAGAGTTG